ACTTCATAGGTTATACATCATCTCTTTAGGTAGCACAATTTATAAAGCTTAAAGTTAATTGAAGGGACCAACAAAGCCCAGCTAGCTCTGTACATATCAATACATGGAGATAGGGCCAAGTTTATCCAAAATAGAGACAGTTGCTTTTCTTTTTAAGGAGAGTCATCTGAGTGGTTCTCCACAGAGAGGGGCTCTGTTAGGAATGGACACTGACAGGCTACATATGCTGTGGTCACCATGGACAGTTATTTTGGCCAAAGATTTCCCACAGGGATGAGCTGCACAGTGAGCTGAACTATGGGCCCTCATACCAGCCCTCAATTGGTCTGAAAACAAAAAAGTGAAGTCTACATGGACTGTATTAAAAAATAAAGGAAAAATTTTATTGCTTCTTGCTGCTATCTGAAAACTCACCAAAGTGGTAAGCGTCCACTAGACGGGACATCAAAGTCAAAAGCCTCATGTCCTTAAAAATTGAGAAAACATAAAATTACAAAAGCAGCTTCTAAAGGACCATTCTGAGACAAAAACACCATACAAGCAAAACTAGAATCTCTAATGGACATTCCTCCTGACACCATGACAGTGATCAAAAATCAACCCCCTGCATATACAAAGGAAGGAAATGACTGGGAAAAACAAGAACAAGCCACTAAGGAACCACCTCTAGTGGACATGCCAAGACCACAAGATTGGTTTATGCCTAGGTTAAACACACACACACACATAATCTAATCCATAAAGAGCTCTCAGATGCTACTGTTACATCCCATGCCTGGCCATCAGTGCTCCACTAGTGATGCCAGTGATGCCAGATCTGCTCAAAATAATCTGATCCAGAGGCCCACAGCCACTCTAGGGATCTGTCTGACTGAACATCACCTTTTGAAGATATACAAACAGACTTCACAGAAGTCAAACGCAACAAAGTATTCAGATATCTCCTGGTCTAAGCCTGTACTTTCTCTGGTTGGATAGAAGCTTTCCTCACCCAAAGAGAAAGTTTCTCTGATATCAGTCAGGCATTGCTCTGAGGAATTATTCCAACATATGGACTCCCTCTGTGGTAGACGGACAACTGGTGGTCAACACCCAGCTAAACTAAATCTGCATGGTGCTGAGTGTAGGCGGCCCACCTGAGGACTGATGCAAACATAAAAAGGGGAAGTGGAATGTAGCGTCGTTGGTTCTTGTTGTAGTCAGGGATTACAGGAGAACACGACAATATAGGACACATAATTTACAGAATTATTTTATAGTAGTTACCCAAAGAGTTAAATACAAGAAGTTCAGGAAAGCTGCTTACATACAAAGACCCAAGGAACCCAGGTGATAGTCTGAATCCTACTGCAATGTCCTTCCTGAGTCCATCTGATAACCTAGAACCCACAACAACGACTCATGCCAGGCTATTTCATAGCTCTGCCCTGGAAGGCTCAGGGTCAGCAGTGGAAGCCAGCAAGTCTGTGCCAGTGAGATGAAGAATCTGGGCCAGCAGGCTGAGGGTTCTGCACTGGAGCCAGGAAGCAACACTCAAAATAAGGACCAGTGCTCCCCAAAAAGGTACCATAGCCATCCTCAGTGACAATGAGGTCCTGAGCTCCTCTAACACTGAGAACAGCCAAGTTCAAATCAGGAAAGAAGCTCAACAAGCTCCTCCAGGAGAACCAACTCACCACCGAAAACCAACAGCACACACTTCTTCCTCTGCAGTTCTTTTAATCTTGGCAACAATCCTTAGGTGGACCATCCACACTCAGCACCATGCTGATTCGGTTCACTTGGTATTACAAGTTGACCATCAGTTCTCCAATCAACAGTTCTCCTGGTTGCTATTGGTTCTCCTGAAGCAGTTTGCTGAGCTTCTTTCCTGATAGGAACTTGGCTGTCAGAGGAGATTGGGACCTTGTTGTCACTGAGAATGGCTGCAGTTCGCTTTGGGGGACTCTAGTCCTTATTTTCAACATTGCTGCCTGACTTCGGAGGGAAAGATGATGTGCTGTTCTTCTCCTGGAGAAGCTTGTCACAATGGCTTCCTGATATGAACTTAGCTTTTCTTTGAGGAGCTCAGGACCTCATTGTCACTGATGATGACTGTGGTACTTGTCGGGGGAGCTTGGTTACTTACTTTGAGCATTGTTTCCTGCTCCAGTGCAGAATCCTCAGCCTACTGTCACAGATCCTTCATCCTGCTGGTGCAGACTTTTGGCCTTCCACCGCTGACCTTTGGGCCTTCCCAGCACAGACTTGCATGAGCTTTAGGCCCTCACTTGGACTCATGGAGGGCATCTTCATAGGCTCTAGGTCTTCAGATGGAATCATGCAGGACACTGCTGTGGCATCCAAGCTCTCAACTGGATTTCTTGGGTCTTATGGTCAGACATATTTCCTGTACTTTTTCTTTTGTATTTATCTTTGGGTGACTATTATAAAATACTTTCATATACTGTATGTCGTGTATTAAATTGTTTTCCTTGCAAACTCTGATTACAACATCCTCTGTCCATAGGAATTGACAATGGCCCAGGCTTGTTGCAAAAATAATTCAAAACCTTGCTAAACTGCCCCAAACAAAATAAAACCTGAATACTGTGTATTGGCCCCAGATCTCTGAAAACACAAAACTGAGAAACTAAGCCTTGAAGACAAATTTAACCAAGTTCTGCCTCTCATCTTGAGGCATAAACCCAGTTAACATTCCTGGATCTATGTAGGTCTGCCATCATTTACAGGGAGACGCATCCAGATTCCTGTTTTGTAGGTCAGAAGAGGGCTTCTTTCTGTAGTGGTCAGAACAGGTGACTTCTACCCAAGCGGGACTCTTCCTGGTTTGTCCCAAGATAATATCAAAGACATCATGCACATTACTGGCATATATGATATCATATATGCCAGTATAATCATGTCAGAAAAATGACACAGTGAGACCATCAACAGAGCCAGCACAGCCTGGGACAGTTGTACAACCTCACGCGCCACTCTTGTGGGTTTGTTTAATTGTAGTATGCTGAGAACAAGGTGGGGAAAACAGGCCAGAACTTTTCAGGGCCAGTCAAGATGGTGGCAGTCACATAAAACTGGAGCCCTACAGAGTGGTAAAAGGTCAGGCTCGATGAGAAGTTTTAAGAATAGCTTATAAAATCCCAGTGTGGTGGTACACAGCGGTAACCCCAGCACTCAGAAGGCTGAGTCAGGAGGATCACCAAGAGTTGAAGGCCAACCTCAACTCCACAGGAAGACTCTGCCTCAAAGCAACCAAATAAGCAACAACAACAGCAACAATAAAAGGAATAGCTCAGACAACTTGTTTTGATAATAGTTTTCTTTTCTATGTATCTACATACGATATATAAGAAACCACGTGCAAATGTATGTGAAAACACACGCTATAAGTTATAAATTAAAGTCATGCTGATAAGAAAGCACTGTGTCATTATTAAATGGTCAGTTATTTCCAAGTGTACATGAGATACTGATTTATTGAACATTTAAAGGTATCCTATATTTCATGTTAATGAAGATTTTATGGTGAAGAATCACTGAAAAGGCTGAAGAACTGAGCAGGGAAGCCACCTCCTGGGATGAAGCTGTACACCTAAGCTGCCTGAGAAGCTGGTAGTGATGCCACAGCAAGGCACAGGCACAGCTGTGACTTATGTCAGTGGAGTAAAATGGCCCTGGAAAGGCCACCGGGCTTTCCCACTCCCCTTAACTGCTGGTGTGCTTCTGTCTGTGGTCATTTCCTTTGCCTTTGTCCAGCAGTGAGAAGTCTCCCTGGAGAGACAGTACAAAAGCAAAGCCTTGCTCAGCACTCTCAGAAGAACAGGATTCCCCTGTGGAGACGCCAACTTCACTAAGGTCACCCTTTCCTCCCACTCCGTGTTGGGATGATTTGTTCTGTCTGGGATACCACTTATTTTCCTGCTTCAACACCAAATTGAAGTCAAGAAGTCATGGTCACTGCCCAAAATCATGTCAGAAAAATGACACAGTGAGACCATCAACAGAACCAGCGCTGCCTGGTACAGGAGCATGATGTCAGCACCAACCCGAACTCAGTCTTGTCCTGTTAGAATCCCTGCTGGAAACTCCTACCTCTTTGTGTCTTTAGCTTCTGACCCTGGGCTAGGGTGGGTATGAATGCCCTTACACAAGGACGACTGGAGAAACACGCACGAGGCCTATCTTGCCAGCAAAGAAAAAAGTGGGCTGTCTCCAGCCCGTACTCACCAAAGAGGGCAAGTTCCACATACAAAAAGGGGGATTCGGGCTGGGGGTGCAGCTCAGTGCAAGAGTACATGCCCAGCATGTGTGAGGCCCTGATTCAATCCCTAGCGGCACAAAAGGGGATTCAGATGTGAGCCAGGAAGAATGACAAATGTCAGTACAAGGACAATTGTATCCCCAGTAAGGTACTCGATAAAACATAACACTCTCAGTTTCTCTCGGGGTGCACTCAGATATGTCTGTGTGAATTTGCAACATATGTAAGCACGCATATGCATCTAAAGAGAGACAACTGCCTTTCTGCCCCTCCTAGGACAGGAGCTTATAGGATGCATGTTTTTCAGATTGGGCTAATTCAGTATTAAAAAAAAAAAAGAAACAGATCTTATTGCTGCTTAAGCAAATGTCTTCTTCTCCCCATCATCTTTTCTTAACATTTTCTCCTGAAGCCTGAGGACCAGAGCGAGACAAAAGACATAGTTGCACAATTTCATGGCATCCCCATGTCCCAGGAGCAACTGATTGGACTCTGAGCAGCAGAATTCAACACTCAGTTCCAAGGAGAGCCCCTCTGAAGGTGGTCTCATTACCCCTGCCCATTTCCCAGAGAGACTTAAACCCCTCAGAGGATGCACCTGTCACTGTGACACGGGAGCTTCTGTCAAAGTGTGCTTTGAGTTGTTCAGCAATAGCCTCCCTCCCAAGTCCCAAGAGCAAACAAATTTGCAAATTGGGTCTATAGGCCAAACAAAACAGTCATAGTTAGTCATTAATAGTTTGGATTGTTTTTTTATTTTAAAGGGAAAACAATAAAAACAAGGATATAAAATTACAAAACAAGACAGGAGAGTAACAATGGTTAATACATTGTGGATTATTATCTTCAAAGCACTTGCTCATATTATAAAATACAGGCATAAAAAATTGATCAAATAATATAGGCACAAACTTTTCATTTCAATGAACCAACAGAAATTAGTAGTATAACTATCTTAGCTATTTTGTGTGTGTATCTATTTCTTTTTCCCTTTTCTCCATCCCAGTTTCTCTTTCCTTTTGAACAGTTTCTTCCAATTTCATAATATCTATTCTACATTAAGGATCTTATTCACTCTTTCGGCTTCTTACACTAGAAAGAGGATGTTTACACACACTAGTCTTATTGCACTTATGAATATCAAGTTACATCCACTTATCTATAAAATTTTAAGTTTATCTTTCTTCTTAGCTGAATAGTACTCCATAGTATAAAATTACATAGTATAAAATTACATCTTTTAATCCATTCCTTCGTGATGGGCATTTGAGCTGTTTCCAAGATTTACCTATTACAAATTGTGCTGCTATAAACAAGTGCACATATATTGCTGTGGCATGACGTTTTTATTCTTCTGGGGAAATACACAGAGGGGAATCATTGGGTCAAATTGAACCTCCAATTATTTTCTAAGGCATCTCCACCCTGATTTCACAATGGTTGTACCTGTCCACACTCCCACCAACAGCAGAGAAGTGTTCCTTTTTCCCACCTTCCAGTATTTGTTACTGGTTGATTTCTTGATGACAGCCATTCTTTCCAAAGTGAGATACAATGTCAGCATTGTTTTAATTTCCATCTCTTGAATGACCAGTGATGTTGAACATTTTTTATAAATTTATTTTCTATTTATATTCTTCATATGAGAAGTATGTATTTACCTCAGATGCCCATTTTTGTATTGGCTCTTTCAATTTGGGGGATTTGATCTTTCTCAGTTCTTTAAATGTTCTAGATATAAGCCCTTTTTCTGAGAGACAGAGGCTAATTTTTTTCCCAGTCTGTGGGCTGCCTTTTCACTCTGTAGGTGATTTCTTTCAATTTGCAAAAGCTTTTTCATATGATGAGACCCAAGTTCTGGATTCTTTGAAGTATTTCCCATGAAGTTTGGGTTCTCTTCATGAAGACTCTGCCTATATCTAAGTCTTCAATATGTCAATCATTTTTCTTTGTCCTTTGTATAACCTTTGTATCTCTGAAAACCTTCAACATTCTCTCTAGTGGACAATCTGGAGACTGTCAGAGGGAGAATCCTTATATCTTCCTTTCTTTGGTCCCTGGGCCTAGAATTCCCCGTTTTAGCTAATCTCCATGACCATGTTTCCCTGTGTACTCAACTTGCCTGCTGGAGGCTTCTTACACAGCTACCACTCAGATTTCTTGCACCCCACACATGTTCAACCACCCCCGTGCCAGCAATGGAGGCCTCCTGCTCATCTCTCTGACACACACACTCAACCTGGGAAAATGACCCATTCACCAAGGCAGTATGTGCCGTTCAACTTTTTCTACCTTGGCTCTATCACCAAGTTACCACAGTGTCCCATGTCAGTTTCACTGGCTTCAGAACTAGGGTCACATATTTTCTATGGCATTCAGGAGGAGATGGACTATCTAAGCAGAGAGTGCCACCTGAGAATGGGGTGGGAAGCATCTCCATCTCCACCAGGACCTGGTCCACACAGGTACAGATCTCTCAGAGGAGCCCTCCCCTAGGAGAAATGTGTTCATTTGATCAGACCCAAAGAATGGACCCAGAGCCAAAAAGAGCAGGAAAAGTATAGCTTTCATCATCTTGAATGCTGGGTGTCCACTGACCAGGCATCCCAGGCTCACAAGGCCCAGTCAGCTCTGCCTCTCTCTTGTCAAAGTGCCAGAGCAAACAGAAAGTCCAGGAAGATGCAGAAAACATGAAAGTTAATACTACACAATCCAGATCTCAATCCAAGTACTAACCCAGTACAAGATCAGACTCTGACAATAGAGACTCAACAGCTCCTCCGATGGCCACTGACAACAACTGGATGGGTGAAGAATCCAAAATACCAGTGACAAAGGACTGACTGCAAACATGCCTGGCCAGAAATGTAGTTGGTCCTTCCTGAACCAACTGACAAAGATGAAAAGGAGAACAGTAAAAACCAGAACAATGAAGACATGGAGCATTGATGAAGAAGAATAGCAGGAACCTTAGGCACAGTTAGAAATAGGAAAATAGTTAGAAATAGTGATGACTCCATGCTAACTGAATGTACTGGGAAAATCCAAAAAGAGGACAATGCCAACCAGACGAACAACAATGAAACTGAGACCAGTGATGAAAAACATCAGAAGCCTTATAAAGAAACTAGCAATGAAAAGGAAGAAATTCAAAATGATGCACAAAATCAGGAATCTCATGAACAACTTTAGAAATACAACACACACAAGATCTCCTTTTCCCAGAACCTAACGTTTGGTGCCAAAACCCCCATGTTCCCCACCTCTTTTCCTCCGTCCCTCCCTCTCACCTACCTCTTATGTTCAATAGGGACAGAGTCTGGGGGCAGTGATCGAGATCTGGCACGCTGTAGGAACTGCCTAGCTAGGGAAGGTAACTTGCACTTGCTTGAGGTCAAACTTCTAGGACTCTTCCTCTTTCTTTTCCTCTACCCCATTACTCCTCTGGCTCCATGCTGGTTTGCAACCACATACAGCATAAGGCAGTGCACTGGGACTTAGTTGGGGGAACTGCCAGTAGCTAAGAGCTATCTCCTAGCTGCCTCCCCCTGCCCTGTTTTTCTCTTCTCCTTTCCCTTTCCCAAAAAGTTCCAGCCAACAAAGGCCATTTGGTTGCAGGAAAGAGGCAAGTGGTAAGAGGTTCCTTATACTCAGGCCTCTTTCTCCCTCCTCTCACATCTCTTTCTCTGCCAAACTTGTACATCAGGATCTCCTCCTGGAAGAAAACTTACACCTAGCTTCTAAGACTCTGACCTCAACACAAGTGACTCCCCCAACCACTCCCCCTCTACTCTTGAACCTATGCCCCCAACAAGATCAACTCTCTTCTTTCTTCCCCACTGGTCATTCCTTCTTGTGCCAACTCCATCATCCTCCCACTCCAACAGGAGGCGAGAGTTCATATTTCTTTTTCCATGAATTGGCCCACGTTGAACAGCACCTGGGATCCTACTTTGAAAATCCCACTTAATATAGGAATTAATTCCTCTGTATCACCCAGGCATTCAGCATCACATGGTGAGAAATCTATTTAATTATTTCCTTTCTCCTTACATCTGATGAAAGAGAATGCTATAACAAGCACAAACACAAAATAACACCAAGGATTTGGAGTCAGATTTATTTACATTGGCAGGCACTGATCAGGATCATCCCCAGAATATCAGGTTCTGATCTCTGGTGGTCCAGGGCTTATATGGGATAAGCAAGCAGGATGTACAGAGGCAACATGGCTTGTCAACTGGGGGCTGGTTTACACAGTGTGCATCACAGCAACTAGCTATTCATCACAGTGACCAGCCCTTTCTAAGAGATAGGAGCACCAAAACTGGAACAGGAACTATTACCTGAGTAATTAGCAAACTGAAGTGTACAGGCTTAGGCAGGTATTTTCTGTTACAGGAACATATCTGACCAGCAGTAGTATTTTACACAGATGAATTCAACCATCAGATTTCAGATAATATGATACAACAGCAGCACAAGCAGTTCCAAAACAAATCCTACCCATCCCACAATAATACAAGAGACAGACCATGGTCTTGGGAACATGATCACATAATAAATGTCTCCTGGCCAGAATGGAAAAAATATGCATAAGGCATTACACTAAGACAAACTAAAAGAGATTACTCAGGGATCTCATAAAAATTCAGCCCTTTTTATGTCCTGCCTCACAGAGGCTATGGTAAAATATACTAATGTGAATCCTGAGTTCACAAAAAGGCAGATCTATTGTTCATCTCCCAGTCCACTCCCCATATTACAAGAAAGCTTCAAAAGCTAGAAAAATGACTTCAGACTCCTAGATACAAGCTCATAAATGCTGATTTCCATGGTTTAAATATAACTAGGAGGATAAGCAATGAGTTCAAAAGGACAGGCAGACTGGATTAAAAAGCCAAAAGCTTGTCTCCACTATCCACCACTCCAACACACCTGCCACAGGGCCTTCCATCACCCAACTCAGCCTTGCTTCTAATGTGACAATGGAGGACACTGGGCAGAGCTTGCCCTAATCCTTGTCCTCCAACTGAGCCATGTCCCACCTGTGACCAACAAAAAATTCTATTGAAAACTGGCAAAACCATTTAAGTGAAGCTGAGGATAGAATTTCAGATCTTGAGGACAGGATCCCAGATAGTCATCATGAAAGAGTAGAACTTATAAAAAAACAACAAAGCAGCATGAAACGATAATCCAACAGCTTCAAGATGATGCCAAGAGAAACAATATAAGACTCATAGGCTTCAGTGAAGATGCAGGAGTCAACGCAAATGACTGACTAAAATATTCACAGAAGAGCAGAAAATTTCCCAAACATTGGGAAAAAAATCTGATATACAAATAAGTGAGGCATATAGAACTCCAAACAGTCACAACCAATATAAATCTACACTCAGACATGTAATAATTAAGATCCCAAACATACAGCATAAAAACAGAATACTAAAAGCTGTTAAGAGAAAAGACACAACTCAGCTACCAAGGAAATCCTATTAGAATCACGGCAGACTTTTCAGCACAAACCTTCAGGTTAAGACAAGCTTAGAATGAAGTATTTCAAGCCCTAAAAGAAAACAACTAAGAGGCAAATACATAGCAATAAATAGTCACATTAAGAAAACCAGAAGGAACACAAATAAATAAACTAATGCTATATCTCAGCTTCTAGAAAAGGAAGAGCAAGTCAAACCCAAGGCTCATAGAAGAGAGAAAATTGTAATGATTAGAACAAAACTTAATGCAATTAAAACTAAAAAAAACAATATAAAGAATTAATGAAGCAAAGACCTGGTTTTTTGAGAGAATAAAAAAATTCATAAACCCCTGGCCGACCTTATCAAGAAGAAAAAAACTCAAAATCCACATAATAAGAACCGAAAAAGGGAATTACTACATATCTCATGGAAATTCAAAACATCATGTATACCTACTTTGAAAATCTCGGCTCACACTGGGTGGAAAACAGAGGAAATGGACAGATTTCTAGAAACATATGAACTACCAAAGCTCAACCAAGAGGATACAACAATTTTGGCATGCATG